GTTCCACCATCAATTCCACTCAGCTAAGCAACTGGATGGCACAACATTGACTATGTTGAAGATGGTTGTCTCTCACCACATTTCCAATGCAATTGTATTATGGTAGAAGCTGCGATTGTGCGAGATGCAGCTAGACAATAGGGATGATTAGCGGTAATTATTATTGCTGAAGATGGCTTAAAATTGTTAGCCGAAACGTCCAAATTAATTTAATAATATATCGAATGAGTATTAAAAGGGCATAGAACCAATATTTTAACAAATAATTATAATTAGAATAATAACATTAAATACATAAACTACATAAATACATACGTTTCGACTCCGATCAGGTCATTTTCAATGCAAAAAAATAATTTTTTAACTTAAACATCCGGTAATAATAAAAAACTTCAAATCACATAATGAAAATAAAAACAAAATAAAATAAAGTCGCTGACAAAATATAAATACATAAAAAATTAATCAATTAATTGTAACATTTCATAATGAGTAAATAATACAATGTCTTAAATAGCTATTGCAAAAAAGTCAAAACTTAGAAGAAAAGAGTAAGCACTTATCACAAAATCATAATTCTGTAAGAATGTTCATGTCTCAATATCTTGATTCTGTAAGAATGTTCATGTCGTTCGAAGTCAAATATAAGTAGTCCCATTGAAAATAAAATTAAGTTGCAATAACGAACATCTATATGAAAAATATGTAATATGTAATACAAATTTGACAAATTATCAAGAAATTATTTTACAATGTTAAATGAATATAAAAGTAACGGAAATTATTTTACCTTATCAAAAGAAAAAACTTAAAAAAGAAGTTATGACCTATTAAAACTATGTAGACACGAACATCTGTAGGAACAATATTGAAAAATATAAAATTCAAAAGGTGTAATAGGAATTCGTTATAAAATGTCAAATAAATATAAAAATAAAAATCAGTTAAAACAGAAGTAATTTACCTTCTCCGATGACAATGGAAAACGAATTAATTTATAAAATTTCACATGTATATTAACTTAAATACAGTTTAACCATTTTGCACTTGTAAAAG